AATTATTTACGGTCAAAATTCATTGCTTTCCCTACTTTGCATTTAAACTACTTTAAGTAACACAAAAACATAAGTAGCGCAGAAAAATTGCGGATATCGGATAAGTAGGCAGGAATGATATAAGCACAGCCGATAACACGGAAATAGAAATATTACGCCGTAATGCCAATGAGGCTCAAGCAACAATCTTCGCCTCTTCCTCCAACATAAAGAAGGAAGTCCTTTTAAAGACGGACGAAAATTATGCTCAAAAATCTTAGTGGATTGTTTTGATGATATACTGGGTTGATAAATTTCTCTTAAATCCTCTAATTTTTGCTTTGAAAACTTCAGATTTAGTAATTTTATTTAAAAAAGAAAAACTTGTCCCCTCTACCCCGTCTCCGCTCTCTCCCCTCTACCCCGTCCCCGCCCTGCCCTTTCGTTCTCCGTCTCTCTCCGCGCTCGTCCCGCCTGCTAACTTCATCAAGCTCTACAGGAAGTAAGAATTTATGTAACATATGAAAAACATGAGAAAACACTTGCCTGGCAAAATATATTACTCTTTGGATCGGTATGTAATGGTGACACAGTTCCAGCTGGTCCAATCCAAATATTCATATCCACATTATCCAGTCCGCCTTCTCCAAACGCAAAATAATCAGGAACGACAATGTCTTGCAACAGTTCAGGAATCTGGTCGAACAACCGATGTTGCGCCAAATAACCTGGACCATCCGAACTCTGTAAAAAGTATCAAAAAAAGGAGTAATAAAATAAACAAATATGAAAAGCCTGGTATAAAAAAATACAAAAAATTGCTGTGCTTTCTAATTGCTAGATAATTTCTTGAGCCGTTTCAACAAATCCCACCATCAGCTTGCTTCTAAGCATCCTTCGAAGAATGCAGCCATCGATAGCCTTGTGAGGAGCATTTATTACTACTGAAATACTCCTAAATGTCCTCGCTCCTCAAAAAAAGTAGATACGAAGGGACATGACTTTTGATTTTAACAAATGAAATAAATGTTTTCAAAAATATTATTTTCTAAAATTTTAAAAAAAATAGCGGACGATGCAAGTCTCCGAGCTGGAGAATTCATACGCCAACCCGATTTCCTTTACCAAGTTAAGTTTCCGAAAAAAAATTATGGCCAGAGATGGGACTTACCTCGTTTTCAACAAATTTCTCAATAAAATCGCGAATTGACATCAATATTTGTTTACAGCTACTATCGGCATAGCTAGTTCCAACTTCCACTGGCACCGTGCG